GCAGGAAAATAAGTTATGTACTCTGAATTATGCACCGATTTTATAAATTTATTCAAATACAAGAGTCAGCTTATGCTGTCCCTAAACATTGTTTCCTAGCAGGTTTTGGTTACACACCATCCTAAAGGGAAACACTGCACCAGGTCTTCAGCATTACCTTTGCAATTTTGTTACCTCCAAAGGTTTAGAACGCACACTTTGTTCTGACAAGTTTAGGCATCTCAGGCTGCCCCTAGAACAGGGGCCTGCAGTGACAAGCAGGCAGCAAGAGATCTTTGCAAAAATAACTACAGCTGACCAAGCTTTGAACAAGTCAGCATGGGTACCAACAGACACCTATGCAGTGCTTTGCGGGCTGCACACAGAAACGTTCACCTAACTTCTGTGCAAGCTTTTCAACTGACGGGTTACTCCCGTAGTATCAGAACAGACTTCATGTATCACTATTTAAAACACTCTGTGGTGTGTCCCCAGTCACTGTTGCAACTGTAATATGGCCACAGCACAGCTGATCATAGGTCTATAACTTTCTGATCATATATTAATATGGAAGGACATATGTTTCCTTAATTTTGAATGTTATTAAACATGAATTCAAACACAAGCAACACAGTACTTTGAAGTAGCAGAACATTGTTTTCTTTTAGAAGTTGCAAGAACTGTCACAAAACTATCCTTAAAGACCCTAAAGGGATTTGAATTAATTACTTAATCCAATCAACTTTATGTCAGTTCCATCTGGAATCTCATCAGATTAATACAATTTACACACTTCCACAGTAAACTACTTTTAAAAAACAGTATTTTCAAAGAAACAAAAGTAAAATGCAAGTAATAGCATTTACAAAAGAAATCAAACATTCCCACAACAAAATAGAAATATTTTTAGCTTAATTTATTTTTTATCTTGCTCTAAAGAAGCTTACCAAACTGTTGTTTCCACCTGGCTGTCGTGCAGCTGTCGATTGTCTAACTGGGCAAAGAGAGGAAAAAGAACTTGAATCCCTCCAATGGAGTGAATTGCGCTGTGAATGGAGTGGGTTACGATAGCTTTCACATCCTAAATTGATAAAATAAATAAATAAATATTAAATCAATAAAGGAAAGACCTCCGTTAATCTCAATTTTAAACAAGTTACAAACATAACTGGAGAACACTTAACAGTGATTCGAGTGCAAACTAAATCAGAGTACTTTTAACATATTTCCATTACTTATCTTTCAATTATAATCACTGTACTTAAAGGCAACCTTTAAACAGAAAAATTTCAGTATCATGGCAAACTGCACCTTATGGTATATATTTCTTACTTAAGAAATTTTCAGTTTGAGTGATAGGTATATTAAGAGCTGAAATAATACAAAATAACAATTTATTTGTACACTAGCACACAAATCCTCTTATTATTCAAATGATGTTGAGCTAACAGTAATCATAGAACACCAATTTAGTAGCACAAACCTGAAGCATAAGAGCATGGGGGGAGTGTACAAAAATTGAAGGATTTTCCTTTGGTGAGGATTCAAGGCATAGCTGAGCATCAGTAGCCTTCGCATTATAAGTAAAAGCAATGCTACTTGCAAGTTTCCCATCATATAGCACTTGTTTATGGTGTTCAGCCAGATGAATGTCACTCTCAGATTTAAATTTGAATGTGCTCTGCAAAAAAAAGAACCCAAACCCACAAGTTTTACAAAGTAAGTATTTTACACAAAATCCTTGCCACAAAATGTGCATAAAATACATTGGACTTGAGAGAGAATATAAAAAGTGCTAAACTTTGTTTTAATTTTCCAGTAGTTTAATGCTACTGAACAAGGAGAGAATTTTTTAATTTACTCTATTCCATATCAACATGTCAATGTAATATTTGGGTTTTTATGTAGTATTATTTCTCCTTTCAGTGTCACTGCTAACAAGTTTCAGAAGTAACTACCTGGAAGAGAAGTGTCACATTAACCAGCTATAAATATGTTAAAATAAAAAACTGAGTATACAATGCATTACAAATAAAGAACAAATTAAATGCCTTGTATTTTATAAACTGACATAAATTAGAATATTGGATTCTATACCATTTTGATCAAAGGAATAGTGATTTTTAAACAGTATGAAAACCCATGGTTCAGTAACAGTCAGGAGTATATTTTAACAAGCTATTAACATCAAAACAAACAATTCAAGTAAAATTATAAATGCTATATTTCAAATTAATTATTCTCAAACTCAAAGCTTTTGCAATGGAAGAATGAAAATTTCTATTATTCTTAAACATACCATGATTCATATCTGACCTAAACCCAGGTTCTCTGGCGATGCTGACAAATCAATCAAGCACAAGAAGATAGATTTGTGCACTTCCGCAAAGCGTTGTCAGACTGACTTGGCACAAAACTACTTTTGCATGTAACAATCATTTGACAGTGGCAAAAAGGCAACTAGTAGTAACACACAGTGCTGTACTGATACGAGTAAAGCAGATTTGTTAGGAATTACCACCATTTCATTAAAGTAATATATATAATATGTTATATTTCTAAAATCTTGACTCAGTTTAGAATAATTTAATGCTGAGGTTAAGTATGAACAATTTTGCTTGTTTTCACTGCATATAGCAATTATAATTCTCCTTATCTCTTTGGTCCATGCAAATCCTTCCCTTCCTACCACCACACAGTAAGATATCCTGTCTCATGAAACTATTGAAAGTACAGTTTTGTTTATCCAGGCTAGAAGAATTAAAATAGGTAACTTATATACTATCACTTGCTCTTTCCAAACAAATTACAGGTTCGTACAGATCATGTAAACCCATAAAGCCCATCCAGCTTTTGCAGAGCTCTCAAGGCTGCTGGAAACCCTGATAAGATTATTTTGCCTACAGACAAATGATGGGAAAGCGCATCAGCTCAAGTGACTGACACATGGCAATACAAGGTCTTGTGACAAGCACCCATTTGTAAGTGAGTCATAGATTGAAGTAGACTGAATAGACTGGGCACTTGATTGCAGCTGCTAGAGAACCCTTGGAGCAAATGTCAGTCAGTCCTGTCCCCCTGCTTGTTGATGTCAAGCAGAAGTGAGGCAGCAATGCCACGCTGAAAATGTGTCAGAGGCAGGTACATAAATAATATCAGAGAATGCAAGTAGGATGGGCAAAAGTAAGTGAATGAGTAGTCAGTGGTTTAATCTACATTTGGCAAAGAAGGATAATGTTATTCTGGACTGCATTAGGAGGACTGTTGCCAGCAGGAGGAGGAAGGTGATCCTTCCCCTCAGCACTGGTGAGGCCACCCCTGGGCTCCCCAGTACAAGAGAGCCATGGACTTACTGAAGAAAGTCCAACAAAGAGCCACTAAAATCATGAAGCTACTGGATTATCTCAACCATGAGGAAAGGATAAGAGAGCTGGGACTGCCCAGCCTGCAGAAAAGAAGCCTCAGGGGGAATCTCACCAATATGTATAAATATCTGAAGGGAAGGTAGAAAGAAGATGGAGTCAGGCTCTTCTCAGTGGTGCCCAGTGACAGGATCAGAGGCAATGGGCACAAACAGAAACACAACAGGTTCCCTCTGAACATCATCGGTAAACACTTTTTTTACTCTGAGGGTGACTGAGCATTAACACAGGTTGCCCAGGGAGGTGGCAGAGTCTCCATTGTTGGAGACACTCAAAAGCTGCCTGGACATGGTCCTGGGCAACTGGCTCTAGGTGGCCCTGCTTGAGCAGGGGGGTTGGGCCAGAGGAGCTCCAGTTGACCTCCTGTTCAACAACCTCAGCTATACTGAGATTCTGTGTTTTGCACTAGGGCTAGGAGTCCAAGTTTTTTAGTGATCCCCACTTACTGCTCTGTTCATACTGCAAAGCTTTTCAGAAACAGACTTTCTTTGTCTAAAACTGGAATATCCTCAACTGGTGGTAGTCATTCAGCCCAAAGGATCAGACTACAACCAATCTGAAGTAGAAAAACACCAAATACGCACACTGTGGGTATTCAGCCCTCAGCGCCAATGTTGTAATCTAGAAAAGTGTTCCTATTGTGCCACATTACTTACTGAAGTAGAAAAACCCAGAGAATGTGCATCAAGTCTAGAATTTAAGAGTTGGCTCTCTGTTGATAGGGCTGACTACATCTCACTTATCAGGAAACGACTGCAACTGATGACAGAATTGTGCTGAGAAACCTGATGATGTATTTCTCCACAGAGGATATTTATAACTATACAGATAAATCTATGTGCAATTTCTGAAGAGACAGAAATAATTTAGTGATTTCATTGATTTCCAAAGATATCTGCATCCTGCATGTACTATGTTTTGAAGTTTTACCACACAAAAAGCTTCTTATATAGAAAATTTTTCATGCCTCTAGTTTTGTCAGATCTGAAAGCTCAGAATGTTATACCTCTATATATTTTTTCATAATTTTGCTATTTTAAATGCCTAAGTGTTTCAACACAAAAGTTGGATCATTCCATTACCATGAAACTTTGCAACTTTTACAATTGCGTCAGTTAAAATAAAATTGGTTTTATAAACAAATTTAGGCATTATTCTACCTTCTAGTTTTCACTGTTTAGTATGCTCCAAGAATTTATGAGACCATTATTTGAAAGTCAAGCACAAATTAGTTAAGAATCAACGTAATACAGTCTCACATTCTTTTGAGAAAAACAAGAGTTAAAGGGACTTTCTGCTATCAAGGCCTAACAAAAGTGATCATAAATTGGAAACACTAGTCTCCCACCCAAAAGATTATTATAACAGAATGGAAAGAGAGGCTACAAATTCTGATATATGATACTCCTTTATTAATAAAATTGATCTACAAAAAGAGAAAAGAAATTCGTATAAGTTCAAATTGCAAATGGTTAGTTACTAGTCACTGAAGGAATGCAACTTTGAGAACTGGTACAACCAATGTGAGGTAAAATTATATACAGGATCCATATATAAGGTATATAAAGAAGATATAAAGGATATCTGTTGCTCCTACAAGAATAGGAGAGGGAACAAAGAGAGCTTAGAATTACTTCACCACTGTCTTCTCCAGTAAAAGAAGCTGTGCTTGATCAGGAAAGCTATTTACACACCAGCAGCTTTGCCTTTCCTTTAGCAGCAAGAGCGCTGCTTTTTGTTTTACCATTCACCTCATTTTGCTAACATAGCGATCATATATAAAATATTACCTTGTACTATATAACTGGGTTAAGCAAATTTGAATTTTCAAGAGTATTTTGTGTGTCCGTATGTCTGCATTAACGCATTTTTACTCAACCTATGTACACAACAAAATGTTTGATACTGCAGCAGTGCTCAAGAGCAAACTTCGATGCATCCAGCAGATGGAATAATCTGGAAACTCATTTTGAAATGCATATGGGAGAGTGAAGAGGAGTGGCACAGACTTGACAAGGCTATTAGGAAAGAGCTTTGTTGAAACATCCACTTATAAAAAGCACCAAGCACTGCTATCAGATGCATTTCTTCCCCCCACATTACCTTCATTGCCCCTCTATTCTGTGTTTATCAGCCACTCAGACCACAGCAGAGACATGCTTCTCTCTCTTCCTTTGCTCCCTCAAAATGATTATGAGTAGCAGAAAAAGAACAGTGAGAGTAAGAAAAAGAACAGTGAGAGTAAGGATGCTACTCTCATTGCCTTTCTCTTTTGGCTACATTTAGCAACTGAAAGTGTCAACGCAGGTAAAAGATCTGTTCAGCACCTGCAAGGCTCCCAGTGAGCAAGCCTTATTACAGAGAAAACCTGGCAGTGCAAATTTTGAATTCTATTATGTTTGTACAAAATATAATTTACAATTTCAAGATACTTTCTGGATGAATTTGGGGAGACTTAATGGGAAAGAGGTAAATTGCATAGTTCTACTGCCAATATATTTTCCCCTCTTCCCCTCTTCTAAGTTTGTTTATGCGTCATTTCAATGCAATAGATACTAAGTGGGACAGCTTTTCAATATTGTTACTCACACACTCACAAAGAAAATAGGCCTTTTGTTACAACTGAAAATTTAGTATTTTCAAAGCAAACTATCTATTTGCTTAATTAACATTTTTATAAGGTCATGCTGCTTACAACTAAATGCATTC